TTTTTTTTTTTTTTTTTTTATATATATATAGATGTAGTAATTAAAGTTTGATATGATTTAAAAGTAAGATTGCATTAAAATTTATATGACATATTGATATGGGATATTATACAATAGACCGGCTCATCGAGACAGTCGACGAACACACCAATGGTCTGGTCGAACTGAACCGGCGATCCGCAATAAAGAAGGGAAGGAGGTCAACAAAGGAAGAATAAGGTTGACGACCGTAAACAGGTACCAAAGATCGGAGAAGTTGGTCGAAGACAAGCGGGCGTGGTCGTAGTATCGACCACCTCGTACCTCAGAAAAAGACCAGTGTTCGCTGATGATCTGGTCGAGCATCAGGACAAATAGAAAAGCCTCCAGCACATGGGAGGGGGGACACGTGGCGCTTTTCGTATGGATCACGGCCCTAACGAACTCTGACATTCTCTGACAGATTCGACGCGGTCTCTGACACCAGGGGAGAGTGGAGGCGCGCGGCTGTACGGACGAGCAGGAGGACAGCTGGCCAAACTCGCCCAAGTCGCGCGTGCATAACAGGTAGCTCGTCCCTATAAATAGGGGCGAGAATTCTCACTTTAGACAATATCTCATATACTCTTACATTTTACGCATATACTTCATCTCTCAAGATCTGACTTGAGCGTTGGATGCTCTTCACCGGAAAAGACCTCCGGTGTGAGAGTTTCGTGCAGGTTCTGTGTTCAACCGGCGAGGAGAACGAGCTCGAGACGGTTCCCAGCCGGTCGGAGTGCGAGACTTGTATTAGATTGCATTGCCAAATATAATGGATAATATAAAACGTCTTTCTTGATAATCTAGCCTTATTATTTTAAAATTATAAATACTTTATTTAAGGAAGGGAAAAAATTGCGTAGGCGTATGCAATCAATATCAAATTTGTATTATAGATGATTAAACAAAACCCAAATTTTAGGATGTTCAAGTCCAATTTCATTTTGAATTTAAAATGAATATTATATGACTCTGTTTTTTTTTTTTAAAAATACGAACTAAAGGAAATAGTAGCCAAATGACAAAGGATTTTTAATTTTTTTTTTTTAATTTGAAATTGGGCCT